AGCTTTGACGCTGAGAAATCCCACCACTAACAAATAGCTTAGTATTGTAATCCTGGAAAATAAAAATAATTTAACCTTCCAAATAGTCCATTTTCTTACAAATCTCAGAAACGGCTTATACCGATTTGTGTGCGGTTTTCACTAATTTATTGTGGTAAGCTTCTTGTTTTTTTGTTATGTATATTAGTTATATTATAATATGTTCATAAATAAAAAAAGTTATGCGAGTGAACAAATGCGAGCAAAGCGAGGGTGAGTCGCTAGTACTTAATAAATTATAGTGCATCTGTGGACCTTAAATGCTCAGTACCTGTGCTAGCGAGCTTCGCTTGTAGTTTTTGGCCTACAAGACATTTTTTTAAAACCAGCTAAAAACTTGAATAATATAAAAATAACAAAAAAAAAACAAAAGTAAAAACTTTGTATCCTGTGATTGTCGATCTTGCGCCTTGGCCGCTTGACCACGATGTTTATGCCAGAATGTGCGAAATTACCGACCATATTTTGTGTGGAATAATGCGAAACAAAACCGCACGAAATCTCGAGAACAGGCGTTTTCTCAGACATAAAACTAATCTAGATCGATTTTTCGCCCCCGAAACCCCCTGTTTACTAAATATCATGAAAATCGTTGGAGCCGTTTCCGAGATTCAGATTATATATATATATATATATATAGAATTGCTCGTTTAAAGATATAAGATATGGCTTTTAACCAAATTCAAAAAAGTCATAGTACATAATTCAATCTTGGCAAATTATGAAACAAATTTTCATCTTTTTAATTAATGTTAATATACCTATGTATACATCAAGAGTAATCTCGTATAAGTTTTAAGAAAAATATCCACTTTAAAGGATGGAGTAATAAGTTTTAAAATTATTAGAAAATATTCCTCTACTGCTGCAAATTATAGAAAATTTGATAAATTTTCTATAAACGCTCAGGAAATTTAGAAATTAGTATGTTTTGATAGATATATCTACATATAATTTTTCAGTAGAAAATTTAATTATTTCATTCAAAAAAATTATCGCCTCTGCCGTTAGAGATCGGTTTTTGCCCAAGCGGATGCATCGCGATATTGTGCCGGATCCACACGCTTGCCGTAGATGTATCACAAGTACTTGCCGCTTTACTTTGACTTGTGAAATAACAAGAATAAATTAGAAATTTAAAAAAAAACCCAACCATCTTGGACTGATTTGCATCAAACATAGCTAAGAACACTTCCGACTAATTCACCTTTCAAACCAAAAAAAAAACAAAACCAAAATCGATTCATCCGTTCAGGAGCTATGATGCCACAGACAGACACACACTCACAGACACGTCAAACTTATAACAACCCGTCGTTGTCGCGGGTTAAAAACCGACACGATGGGAACGGCCACAAGAGCTTGCAAACCTACAGAAGACAAACAAAACGCCCTCTTCACATGTTGAGTGTGTGATGGCTTATCGAGGCTTGACAAACCGATATTGAATGCACCATTTTCGCCACAATTCCACGCGGACATTACTCGTTGAGCTATTATTAAGTATACATTTATTTTGTATGTTTAAATATAAATAAAATCGTCTTTAAATCGGGACAAAGTCAGGATAAGTTATTAGTTAAAATAAAATACCTTGTCATGATGAGTTTTTGTTACTCCATAAGCCAATATCTGAAACAAATATATAATTCTTAGTTCTTACTACTTTGATATATATAATTACCTTGTGTTCGTAAAGCTTAGTCGCTTGTCCAATTTTGATGGAAGTGTTTTTCTGTACATAGGTACATATGTAGGTAATCCTATTATATGGATGGTTTTTAGCTAAACTTGGACCCGGTAGATGGCGTTGTTGTCGAGATGAAGATTTTACATATAAAAATTAGAAAAACATATTTATTGCTTAATAATAAATTACTTAGAACCCTGGTTATTATTGACGCCATTTTCATCTTAATGTAAAAATTGAATTTAATATATAATATTGCATATCATATTATAAAACTGATTATAAATATATTTAAAATTAAAATTAACAAATACTGTAAGGTACTTTGGTGCTATTTTTGATTTTTTTGGATTCATTTTGTTATTTTGTGTTAAGATGCATTTGAGACATCTAAAACCTTAGTCTCTTCCGTGACCATGAGCACTATAAAGCTCACACTCACAATAACACAAGTTAATTTGTTAACAAGCCCATATCCACCCTCCATTCAATGTAAGAGAAGATTCGACGCCACATCAACGAAGTTCGGCCACATTTATGCAAAATGACGAAATCATGGGAAATGACAAGAGCGCGTAGGTCGCAGGAATCCCGAGGAGGCCATTTGCTGGATGTTTTATTCCGTGTATAACCCTTTTTTTTTGTTTTCGCTGGGGAAACCCATCATGGGACCCTGCCGACCGTCAATGGGCAGGGTACTGTGAGGCTCCTACTCACTAAAACCCACAGCGGAACCTGTCGCTGCAGGCTGCTGTGCAGTGCAATGTGGCGTTGCAGGATCGCTAGCGCACACACTAAAACACCTTTTATTCGTATATAACCCTATAGCTCCTTTACGTTTCTATTTAAAAAAAATTGAAAAATAAACTGTTATTTCTAATTATTTTAATTTTGCGTGAATTTTGGGTCAACCTGTATATATTAAGAATAGAATTTAGAGATATATATATATATATATATATATATATATATATATATATATATATAGACATCTAAATTCTATATATATATATAAAAAAATTATTGATAACACTGAATTTCGTGAATAGCTACTGAATAAAAAAAATCGGTTTACAAACAGATTAGAAAAAAGGAACTGAACTGGTTTCTCTTTTATTTATATATAGATTTTGTAGTTTATAAATTTCATTAAGAATTTATAATTTGATCTCTCTATACATTATCATTGAAGCTAATCTATACATAAAATAAAATTGTAAGTAAGTCGAATCTGTACATTAATTCCTCCACAACCGTTACAGTTAACAATAGATTTCTTAGAAATTTAATTCATTTCTTAGAAATTTACCTGGAGATGATATATTTTTTGGAAAATCTTATTGAAATAGAGGCAGAGGCCGAATCTATGGATTTTAGAACTTTTATGTGTCTGTCTGTCTTTCTGTCTGTGACCGCATCAAGAAAAAATCCTTGGACGGATTTTGATGAAATTTGGTATGGTGATAGCTGGTTATCATATAGGATACTTTTTACTGCGACAAAATATCTCATCTCTGAGAAATCTACGCTAAACGTTAAAACGCAACGCTAGTATTATTTAAAATATTAAAATTAAAAAGCAAATACAATTTTTGTTTAAAACTTACCCATTAAAAACACTTACGGTGACAGAATTAAGATATAACTAATGAAATATTCTTCATAAGATGTAGATTTTTATAATTCAGGAGATAACCTTTGGAAAAACACAACCGTTGTGGTCGACAGGTTAGATCTGATTGACCTCATGCGATATGATCAATGATCATATACGTTCGTAATGAATCATCAACTCTTAAACAATATTTTCATTAAAAAACAAAATTTTATTTCAAAGAAATGGCATTTTTTTGACTTGCCTTTCTTATTGTTTCTAAACGCCTAAGAATTTTGGCAACATTTAAAAACTAAAAAATAAAAGATCTGTTTTACTTTATGCCCCACAAAAATTTTGTAATTCAATTACTATTTTCATACATAAAAAATTGAAAATGCTATTTGCGAACCTCGAAGGTATAGAGGTGCTCTGCGCGGGCGCGGGCGGAAGTCGCGCGTTGGCCCTCAGACGGTAGGCTGGGTCACTTTTTTTCTCTATCCGCGCTAGCAATCGACTACTTATTTTACGTCATATTTACGCATGTATTGTTTATGTACAAAAGTATTTTTGTTTGTGTGCGTGCATAGAATAATCGCTCGCAGACAGATAAATGTGTAGTAAAGTACGCGCTTGGACGCTGTAAAATATTTTAACTAGTTTACTGTAATAACAATTAAGTTGGAACTATGTGGATATAGTTATCGGTATTTTGTATAAATTAACAAATTCAGAAATGTTCAGATCAATCACCAAAAACTTAATCATTATTATATAATTCATAAAGATACCAATATGCTAAATATGAAATCTTTACCATTCCCGTAAGTTGAAATAAATAAAAAAATATATAAAAAAAGAATGATCACGATCCGATTACTAGTTTCGGAGAAATGCGTGGATATTATATTATATTATTTTTTCCTTTTGAGGTACGGAACCTTAAAAAAATATTACATTTTCATATCTCTTTGAATTACTTACAAACATGCTTAATATGAACAAATGTCAGAACCTCACATTTTTTTCGTTTTCCGTTTCACGTAAAATGTCCAGAGGCCAATAATTTAGTACGTATTAATAAAACGCATACCACACACGTCCAAGATGGTTATGGTGCAAGGGAAAAAATAAAATAACGGTATCTTAAATATTTTATTGTTTTTGTGTACTATTCATACTAATATTATAAATGCGAAAGTTTGTTTGTTTGTTTGTTTGTTTGTTTGTTTGTTTGTTTGTTTGTTTGTTTGTTTGTTTGTTTGTTTGTTTGTTTGTTTGTTTGTTTGTTTGTTTGTTTGTTTGTTTGTTTGTTTGTTTGTTTGATTGTTTGTCTTTCTTTCACGTCGAAACGAAGTGACGGATTGGCGTGATTTTTTGTGTGGAGATATTTGGAGGGGTGGAAAGTTACATAGGCTACTTTTTATCGCGGGAGATTATCTCACTCCCACGGGAAAAACGTTATAATAAAATCAAAAAAATATATATTATTAGAACTCCTTAAAACTTGGTATTAATGCTCTTCAATACAATCAAATATATACGTGTTTTAGGATTTTTCGAAATTGATCCAATAAAGAGGTAAAATAGGGAATGAATGTTTGTATGGAACCTACTTTTTTAGGGATTTTTTGTAGTTTTAGCGCGAGCGAAGCCGCGGGTTCTGCTTGTATTTTATATGTCTTCAATTGCGTCGTCTATCCATTTGATATAGTGTGCGATGTTGGTGTAGACAGATATAGTGTTGCTCTTGTAGAGATGGATGCCATTCACGACGTAATTGATATTATTCACTGACTGGAAACAAAAAAATATAAGAATAAAAAAATATATTATATTATAATATTATTAGCGACTCACCCTCGCTCGACTCGGTTTCGTCCCTATGTCACGTTATACGGATTTATCAGAGATGAGATATTTTCCTGAAGTAAAAAGTATCCCACATGTCGATCAGGATAATCAGCTATCGTCATACCAAATTTCATCAAAATCTGTACAGTAGTTTTCTCGTGATGCGTTTCCAGACAGACAGATAGACAGACAAACAGACAGACAAAAATTCTAAAAACTATAGATAGAACATCGATAATAATGACTAGTTCAATAATATTTTCCAAAAAATATTTAATGTACAGATTCGATTCAGTTAGAATTTTATTATATGTATAGAAGTGAGCAATTCTTGTATATAGACGAAGTATATAATATGTATATTTATATCGTGAACATCGGAATCGACTAACGATTTAAATCAAAGTAAGATTTTAAAAATTTAAATACGCTTATTATTATTATATTTTATAATAATCTTTCCTTTGAAACTTAACAACTTCAATATTTAAGGTACTTTTCTTTCATGTCCAATGAATTTGTTCCACTCTGTATATTGCATCTATTGAAATAAAATTTAAATATACATTTAATTCCAATACAAAACAAGCTAGTGGTAGATCTATACTAATATTATAAAGCTGAAGAGTTTGTGTGTTTGGTTGGACGAGCTAATCCCAAGAACTACTGATCGGAATTGACAATTCTTTTTATGTTGGATAGTCCATTTATCTAGGAAGCCTTTAGTTATATACTATCCCGGAAAATGTACGGTTCCCGTGGGATAGATTTGTTTTTGTCTAGGGACAACCCGAAGCGAAGCAAGGGTGAGTCGCTTGTAAGATAAACATACCGTCTCTTGTTCACAGAACAGCCCTCCACCCACTTCTGGGGTGTAGTCGTTTTTGGGCGCAACTGCGCATAGCTTTGTCTCGTCTAGCGACTTTTTGTCAGCGGCGCAGCTACTTTGTCTTGGTATAATAGTGTTCAGCTAAAATTAAGAAAAAATATATGGATCATTCCATGTCAAATCCACCAATGGTTGGAATCGATCCTTTTAATTTCGATGAAATTTGGTGGGAAATTTATCTTTTATCATAAAACTTGGTTCTACCAAAAGAAAATAATAAAACAAAATGTTTAAAATGCGAAAAGTCAAATTTCACTTTTCCCTTAGTTTTTGGAAGCTTATTTTTTTAATTTTACAAAATTATTATAGCTACAAAAAGTGCTTGGGTTCGTTTCTTTTAAAATGGATACTTCAGGCTACGATTTTTTATTAAATGCCATATTTGTAGAATTTTGAATTTTTAAAAATCGTCAAAAAATCACATCATCAAAATATTAATGGGTACTTTTAATGAAGTCAAAAGGCCAACCGAGAATTATTATTTTTTTACTTTTTAGAGGTTTTTTTGTCTCAGGGGTTACTTTAAATTTTTCATTTTATTCATTATGAACTGGACGTTATGAGCAGCCGTGCATAATAACCATTAGAGCAACGTGACAATAGATGCTATTCAATACTTACATAATAGTCCTGGTCAGACACAGCGATACAAGGGGTTGCAAACAGAGGGCTGGACGTTGGCAGGCAGGCTGGATGGGCCCAAGGCGACAATGCATCCTCTTGGGAGAGGCCAAGTATGGCGATATCGTTGATACCAGTTTCTGAAAATCAACGGTTAAGATGGCTGCGTTCATCAAGAACATTGAATATAGGTGGATTTGTTACTTATTGATTAGTCGCACAAATCTATATATATAAAAGAAAGTCGTGTTAGTTACTTCGCTTATAACTCAAGAACGGCTGAACCGATTTAGCTGAAAATTGGCAGGGAGGTAGTTTAGAGCCAGGAGAAGGACATAGGATACTTTTTATCCCGTTCGACCGCGTTCCAATTTTTATGATATTTTAATTTTTGGATTTCTCTTAGTCCGGAATAGGTAAGTATTAAAACATATAATTAAAATGTGAGAAAGAAAGATTTTTTCTTTTTATATCTATTTAAAACGTACCTAGCGACGAACCCGAGCGAAGCGAGGGTGAGCCGCTAGTATCCCTATAAAGGACCGCGTCACTATGGTTAAAGAGAGAACGACCATTCAAAAGTTAATTTAAAAAAAACGAACTAAAAGCCATATTAATTAAAGAATTTCCGTACCATTTAGAAGCAAAAGCGATGCATGAGATTATGAGCGCAATAGAGAAACGGCAGGATAATACTTGCATAGACTATATGTTCGTAATGAAGGAACTAGGTAACCGAGGAAAACTGGAACAAAGTGTACCAATAGAATATATAATTTATGGATTTACAGAGAAAGAAAGAAATAAAATGATATTATACGGAGAAGACATTGCTAGAGAATTGACGGAAAATTTGAGAAATTACGAAACAATCAGTAGCGCAACAAAAGAAACAGATGAAATAAAACATCCGAAAAATGTCCCACGGATACGGTGTTATTAATATACGTTAACTAACTGATTTTTGTACAATTTTTAACCGCTCTTTTATCCCTTTGGTGGTTGAATCACCAAAAATCCTTTCTTATCGGAATTCGGATACCTACTATCTATGCGAAATGTATCTGCCTAGCATGGAGCTGTAGAATCTTACTGATATGCCTCTCATCTTCTGTCAAAAAAAGAATTCATACATATATATAACACAAGCATTACCCGCGGCTCCGCCCGCGTTCAGTAGACCAAAAACCAAATTTTTAGGTTTTACAGCTTAGTATACTCTTACATTGCAGTTTTTGTATTTTTTCTCAGAAATGGGTCATTTTCCTGTAGTAAAAAGTATACTTTATGTTGATCAGGATAACCAGCTATCACCATACCAAATTTCATCAAAATCCCTCCAGTGGTTTTTTTGTGATGCGGTAACAGACAGACAGACAAACAGACAAAAATTCTAAAAACTGTACATTCGGGTTCTGTATCAATAATAATGTCTATTTCAATAAGATTTTCCAAAAAATATTTTGTGTACAGATTCGACTTAGTTACAATTTTATTATATGTGTAGATTAAAATATATGTATAGAAGTTTTGACAGAAATCGCTAAAGACAAAAATTCTAAAAACTGTACATTCGGGTTCTGTATCAATAATAATGTCTATTTCAATAAGATTTTCCAAAAAATATTTTGTGTACAGATTCGACTTAGTTACAATTTTATTATATGTGTAGATTAAAATATATGTATAGAAGTTTTGACAGAAATCGCTAAAGACAGCTAGGGACGTACCCGAGCGAAGTCCGAGTAAGTCGCTACTACACTAAGTAACATTCTCTCAGATAAGCGTAGAGTACACACTCTAAGAGTAAGTCATGAGTACTATAAGAAAAAGGTACCTCTATTGTAATCATCATGTATTATGAATGAATTAGGCATAACGCGAATGTTTCCATGACGCCTCGTAAATCCGACTCGAAGGTTTTGTGGGATGTAATTTTCTACACAAGTGGCAGAAGTCATGACAGCTCGTTTGCCGTGGTGGATGTATACTCCAGCACATAATGGTTCCGTCGACTCTGTGCTGGAAACACAAAAATAATATAAAAAGAAAATAAAGGAAGTAAAAAATGGTGCACAGAATTTTTTGCCCGATTTAAAAAGGGAGAAGTGCTGTATGGTTTTGTGTATGTCACGCGATATCAACGTCAGTGGTGAACGGATTTGTGATTATTTATTTGATGAACAGGTCCAGGCTGTAGTATTTGATAATAATTACTAGTTTTTGCTCGCGGATGCACTCGTGTGATAAGCGGAACGGGGATTAATGGTCACCTATGTCCATCTGTCCCCAGGGATATAATCTTCACATGTCTGTGCCAAATTTTATCGAAATCTGTTTAGCAGTTATAATATTAGTCATCAACATCATCTCTCTGCCCATTTCCTAAATTACTTGGGGTTGGCGCAATACGTTGATACTACTCATTATTTGTTTTGACAAAAGTTTTTCGACCTGCCGCCAGCCTGACATCAACCCTCTTCAGGAATACCGATCGAACCGGAATCGAGCAAGAACCTTAAGGTGCGATGTCCCTATTCTTTAGTCGTCTTCTACGACGCCTACAGGAGGAGATGGGGTAGCACTGTACTAAGCCGAGCGCTATACGGCGGTTTATAATATTAGTATGGATTTATTTAATTTTATTTATTCTTTCAGGAAATAACTAGTACAATATTAAATAAGTAATAAATAATAACAAGATAGCACATAAACCAATCTATGTAGATTTCTACTAACAAGTAATAAAAACACTAATAAGATTAATAGACAGTAAAGAATTAGTGTGACAGCGAACAGTGCGAATTAATAATAAAATTAAATAAATATATAATCAATGAGGTAAATATTAAATGGATAGACGATAAACTCCATATGAGTATGCTGGTTGACGTTATTTTCTCTATTAATAAGCATAATACCTGAATATCCAAGTTCTCCAGGGGTATTGGCCTTGTAGAACAGATCTCAAACTATCCCTTGTACTGCGTGGATGCCCATCAGGCTCACTTTTGCCACAGTGATCAGCGTTCCTTTAACAAACGATTCTAAATTAGGTATAGATTTATCATATTCATTTTTAACGTCAAAAAATCAATTTTCAACTACGGAAAATTAGATAAAACTTACAGGTTACGTAGGGATTAAAAAAAGGTAAATGCAATCGTTTTAAATGTTCCGGTTTTGGAATCAACATACACACCGTCATGTCAATATAATACTCGTATGTAGTATAATTATTACAGCGTTTATTTGACGACATGAGTGGCTCAGTTTATAGTAACCCTACTTGCTGTGCCAGCGGTCGCGGGTTCGAGTACCGCTGGAGGCATTCATTTGTATGATGAGTACGATGTTTGTACTCCAGTCATGGGTGTTTATATTTATAATATGTATGTATTTAAAGTTATATATGTGTAGTGCATCAACTATCTGGCAACCATAACACTAGCCTGGTAGCTTACCATGGAACTAGACGGTGTTGTGTGTTAATGTCCCAACATATTTATTTATTTATTTTATTATACATAATATATATCTACGCACCGAGCAGTAACATCTTGTTGAGAGAAGCAGCAGAATTCCTTAGGCTGGCATTTGTCATCATACAATCTGAAAGATAAAAACAATAATTTTTGATGGTATACTTCTTTTGGCGCGTTATGAAAAAAATTTTTTAACGATGCGACAGATTTACACTACAGTATGAAGTTAGTCGTTTTTGTCTACAGTGTGACGTTAGTCGTTAAATCTCCCTTTAGTATAGTGCGATATTCAAGACATTTATTCCGGTATATATAGATATACATATATACAACGCATGTTTTATATCGATGAAAATAAAAAATACTATACACTTTTTAGTTTCACCTGTCCCAGCGTCTGTGACCCACTTCCCAGTATCCGATTGAGCTGAAATTTCGCACACACGTTTGGATCTCACGACTGGACGATTATATAAATGTCACTGTTAATTTTTAATCCAAATATATAATATAGCATATAGTGGACTCTAAAAGATATCGGTGAGCTAAGGCTTATAAACCTTCGGTGGTTCATTGATGACATCGTCCTGTTTTCGAATCATCGAGCAGAGTTTAGTAGCCCCCTTGACAACCTTAATAGGGCGAGTCTTCAGGTTGGACTTTGTATGAACATGTCCAAGACAAAATTAGTGACCAACAGCGTAAAGCAGAGAGTTTTTGTAGAGGATGTGGAGGTTTAATATCTCCATGCTATTGTCGCAAAACTACTCTAAGTTCCATGTGAAGTTAACATATGCTTCATTTAAAATGAAGATTTTTTGACTATACTCACTTAATACTATGTGATATTTTGCCTCTACTTTTTTGTCTATTAGAAGCATCCCCATTACACGTGTAGCATTCTAAGCAGCCTCGCTCATTTCCCTCTATACTACTGCAGTTCGTCACTAAAATAAAAATAAATCTTTCGTAATTGTATTGTATTCAGCCCTTTTTTGAAATCCCATCGTTAGGGGTGGGCCTCCTTTCAATACAAGAGAGATAGGGGAAGATCAAGCCATAGTATAGCACGCTGACCAAGTGCGGTCGGACTGAGCACTTCTTTCGAAAACTTGCTAGGTTATTGAGAGGACATGCAGGTTTCCTCACTCTGTTTTCATGTAATCATCTTCTCTGTCCGGTCTGCTTCTCAATATTTTGTGACAGAAACCTCATTAAATATTTTAGACCGACCCAGGATTTGAACCCAAGATCTCACGATCTCTATTCATACTCTTGTGATATTTTAACGAAAGTGTATTTTCGCGATGCGAAGCTATTAATAGACTGATAGTTAAATTATTCCCTATCGACAAATCACAGAAATAACTTCGATCGATAAGATTTATATGCAGTAATTATACTTATAATAGCTTACCGACATCATTTTCAAAAATATTCTTGAGTAAATCTGTCCCTGCTTCCTGAGATTTAACGGTGAGAAATCCCACCACCAACAGGTAGCTTAGTATTGTAATCCTGGAAAATAAAAATAATTTACATTATACATCGGTCTTTTACATTTTCCTTCCAAAAAATAAATAATCAATAAAATTATAATCCATCTATGGTTTTAAAATGCCCATATGGCTTTTAACCAACTTCAAACAGACACAACTTACTCAATTCAATTGTGAACCAATTTTCATGTTTTTTAATGAATGTAATACTCGTATATGAATATGTCATGGGCCAAGTGATTAATTAAACCACTAGTTATAATACCCGGTAAGTATGTATAAATAATGAGAAGTTGAATTGGGCCAAGTGTTTAATAATTATTTAATTAACTGTATTTAGAGGTCCTGGGTTTGAGTCCCGGGTCGGGCCAAGTTTAGTTATTGAGTCTTTCTGTATATTAAGCCTCAGTAACAGCCCGGAGTTGTTGGCGGTGTTTCACCCCCGTGCCTCGGAGAGCACGTAAAGCCGTCGGTCCTGCGCCATAACTCTCACCGGTCGTGTCAAACAGTCATTCCACCAGAGTATGAGAGTGACAAGAATAGAGAGTGCACTTGTGTCTGCGCGTACACTTGTGCACTATAATATCTCCTGCGCAGTTGGCTAGTCTCAATGAGATTAGCCGCCGTAGCCGGAATCGGTCAGGAGAACATCAATTATTTAAATTTATGGCATAGGGCATCATGAATATTGCTGCTTGATAGTTCAGCAATTTGATAATGTTATGATTATATTTCGTTCAATTATAGAAAAATAAACTCATAACACTTTCGGCATTTTCCCGTCTCTTCTGCTCCTGTTGAATTTTTAATTTCTCATTTATGCGTATAATCTAGGAGTGAAAACATCTAGAGTTATCACCTCAACCATTAGTACTTGTACCCAACTGTTGTACCCAAAAGTATTGAGATATTGTGCCGGGTCTACACACAAACAAACGCAAACTTGAAATCTCTACAAACGAACAAACGTGTGGATGTATCACAAGCACTTGCCGCAAATTTCCTTTGACTTGTGCACAAAAACAGACACGATCGCGACGGCCACAAGTACATACAAACCTGCACAAGTCAAACCAAACGCCCTCATAACATGTTTGAGTATGGTATGGCTTATTGATATGACCCGGCATTGAATGCACGATATTATTTGTTGAGCTATTATTAAGAATACATTTATATTGTTTAAATTTAATTTAAGGGCCATTGAATTTATTGTATGGATTTTTGTATCAAAGCGTGTACCTCGCTTTAAATCGAGACCAAGTCGGGATAAGTTACTAGTTAAAATGAAATACCTTATCATTATGAGTTTTTGTTACTCCATAAGCCGACATCTGAAACAAATATACGATTTTTAGTATTTTCATTGACTTCCAAAAAGGAGGAGGTTCTATGTGCGTCTGTATGTGTCTGTTTTTTATGTATGTTTATATGTATGTTAATGTTTTTTATTTATGTTTATGTTAATGAGCGTCACTGCTTAACTTAACAAAAATTCTAAATTCTCGCTTGATAAAATACCTTGATGCATATTCGATACTTTCTGATAATCAATTTGGCTTTCGAAGTGGGAAATCTACAGAGGATGCTGTACTGGCTCTCACTATTCTATTATTGACAATGCCTCAGGGTAGTGTCCTCGGACCAACATTATTCCTAATATATGTTAATGATTTATGCAATCTAGCTCTCAATAATGTTAAAGTTTACGCTTATGCTGATGACACTGCCCTTCTCATAGAGGCACCAACATAGGAAGCTCGACTGCTGCACTGAGCTAACGCAGTCTTCCTGTGTTAAATATCTTGGCGTTCTTATTGACTCTCTAATGACTTGGAATGACCAGGTTGAGGCGGCTATCGGTCGAATTAGAAAATTAATGTATATTTTCAAGACCCTTAGAAATATTGCTGATCAACAAACCCTGAAGATCGTATATTTCTCGCTGGCACAGTCTGTTCTGACTTATTGTTTATCAGCCTGAGAGAGCCCAAAGAGCCGTTCTTAAAGTTATGCTTTGCAAACCAATCCGTTTTGCTACTTCTGAATTGTATATAATAGCTAAAGTCTTAACGGTTAGACAATTGTTTGTCTTAAAAACGGTATTACGCAAACACCTTGAGCTACCTTTTGTTAAAAATGCTATAAAGCGACGGGCTGGCCGCATTTGCAATATGAAACCTACTCGTATTGCTCTTGTTAGAAATCATTATGTCTATCTCTCGGCTAAAATCTATAACAAATTGAATGCATTGATAAACATCCATCCTCTGTCTTACTGGCAATGTAAAAATAAAGTAACTAAGTTTTTGCAAAATCTCAATTATAAAGAGACTGAATCACTTGTTTACGATAACTAATGAACATAGTTAATTGTATATTTATAAGATAATTTTGTGAATTATTATTTATAAGTTCTGTACGTACATAAAGCAGGTATATATTATACAGTGTAGTACTTACGCTACTATAAAACTTACCAACCTGATTGTTCTACCTTCATCTCCTAAGAATTCGTATAATTTATAAATATAAGCTTAAACTAAATTAATATCATTACAATAGTAACTAATTCTGTTAACACACCCTAATAATATAGTAAATAGCTGCGACACAGTTTATACTAATGCAGCTACTTACGATCTAAATGTTTTTAATATGTATGTTATTATGTTCAATAAAAATCTTTAAAATCTTTAAAATCTTTAAATAGTGAATAAATTTTCGAAAGCATGTGCATTGTTTAACATGTCCATAAACGCTAAAAAGACCGTTATATTAGCGCAAGGCTGCACGGAGAAACCAGTGATTTTGCTGGACGGTATACCTTTGGAAGTCGTTGAGAGCTTTTGTTATCTTGGGTCGACCGTATCTAGTAATCTTTCTCTCGACGGAGAGATCGACGTGCGAATTGGCAGGGCGGCTATGATGTTCGGAAAGCTTTGTTCAAGAGTGTGGAACAACAAACACATAACAATCAAGACCAAGATGACCGTATATCAAGCATGCATATTGAGTATTAACTCGGGCTCAAACTCAGTACCCGTTACTTAGTCTCATATTAAATGTAATGATACTATACTTTAAAATAATGAATAAAATATAATATTTTTCTTGCCATTGGCTTCACTCGCTGTTAGCGGGTCAGGGATAAAAATAGCCTATCCGTCTCCAGGATGCAATTTATGACATTGCCAGATTTCACCAAAATCTGTTCAGCGGTCTAAGAGTTAAAACGTAACAGAACAGACAGAGTTACGCATATAATATTAATATGGATTGCATTACGAGTTACTACAATTTTGGGTTAAATAATGTTTTTGATTTGCGTATGTATAAAACTCATGTCTACTTTTATACTAATATATAATATTATAAAGAGGTAAAGTATGTATGTATGGGGTAATCTCTGTAACTGCTGAGCCGATTCTGAAAATACTTTCACTAACAACAACGTTACGGCCGAGTGCTGTAAGTTATTTTCTATTTTAATAAAGTATTTACTGACAGAAATCATAATAAGTGTCAATATTGAACAAAAATATGGCAAAAAGACATCGTGGGAAGAGAGCGTTAATCGCTAGTATAAAACTGAATAGTAGCATTTTAGTTACAAATAGAAGTTTTTTAAAAAAAAACAATTTCGCGTATAAAAAAAAACGAAAAGCATATATTTATTGCTTAGTAATAAATTACTTAGAGCTTAAAACCCTGGTTATTGATGATGCCTTTTTTTTAATTTATGTAAAAATTGAATTGACTTTAGGGGGATCATAACCTCTTGAAGCCCCAACCCCCTCCCCCATTCTCTCCCCTCTACAAGTGGTCCAGACGCAGCCTCCACGCTCTATGGTCACTGATTATAATTTACAAACAATAATTTCCTTATATGAAGCTTTTCCTTATACTTCTGTGACCTTCAAACTATAAACAAGTTATTCTTGATTATAAACTTTGTTTTTATCAATCTGTCAACCATATACAAAAACATCTAACTTTTTTTACTTATGTGCGAGTTCTAGTGTTCTCGCTCAGTGATCGAAAATCAGCCATACATTTTTGAAAATTTGAGAAAAACATAGTATAAACAGAATTTACATATCTATATAAGAAACCTATGTCCTTCCTAGGGTCTCAAACTATCTTTTTACCAAATTTCATGTAAATCGGTTCAGTAGATCCAAAGATTACCCCCTACAACATCACAAACTCACAAACTTTACCTCTTTATAATATTAGTATAGATATTGTGACCAATAACTTTCATTAAGTTTATAGTATGATCTTTCTATATATTTTTATATGTAATCGTAATGTAAAGGAAGCATGTACGAGCTTATATTATTTAAAATGAAAATTTAAAAAATTTTCAAATCCAATTTGTGTTCAAAACTTACCCATCAAAAACACTAATGGTAACAAAATTAAAGTATAAATAATCAAATATTCTTCATAGTTCTCAGAACATGTCAAAACTGCGGGAAACACAACCTTTGGCATCGGCAAGTTAGATCTGACTGACCTTATGAGTTATGAGAGTGGATCATACGTTCGTATGCTTGCAATGTGAATAAAAAGATTTAATATTATTTATACTATAATAAAACTGTAGAGGTGGAATGTCTGTGCATAGAAAAAAATTCTAAAAACCGAGTCAGGGGGATGTAAGAAGACAAATAGAACAAATCCAGATTTTTTTCAAATTCTTTGTTTCTCTGGCTGTTTGTCTGTTTGTAAAATTTGGTATGCCTTATATTGCCAGTCAAACAACAGGTTACTTTTCATCCCGGAAAAATGAACGGGATAGATCTCTTTGTTTTTCTAGCGAGGGTGAGCCGCTAGTGTTTAAATAAGTTTTTTACTAAGCACAGTAATATTAATAACGCGAATGTTTGTACGTGTATGTATGTTTGCTACTACTTCACAACACAACATATAAGCTACTGACTACTGTTCTTTCCAAAGGTGACGTTACCTATATACATCTAATATATAAAAATCTCGTGTCACGGTGTTGGTGGTCGCGCTCCCCGAAACGGCTCAACCGATTTTAATTTCAAAAAATGTACATTTGGTAGGTATGAGAATAGGTCGTAAAAATTTTTCACGGTGCTCCCCCTTCTTCCCCTACTCACCCCCTACCCCTTCCCCCATTTTTAATCGCGATTTTAATATTTTTTATGAACAATCCATGCTAATATTATAAATTTGAAAATGTGTTTGTTTGTTTATTTGTCCTGTTATCACGTCGAAAAAGAGTGACGGATTGGCGTGATTTGTGTGGAAATAGTAGGAGGGCTGGAGAGTGACATAGGCTACTATTTACCGCGGGAGATTAGATCTAATTCCCACGGGTACTCGTAAACACGTTATAATTCATTCGTACGTCGTTGTTACATTAAACCTAAGTGCATGAACCAGGTGGTCTGTCTGCTCGTTTGTCACAGAAGACCATAAAAAAACTGTTTTGTATTTAAATACATTAATTTATAAATTATTTTGCACTAGTATCTTAATAAATATTGTGGATGCATAAATGTTTGCTTCATTTAAAATTAAATACAATGTTATTTTCTACGGAGCCCTTAACACGTGATTCAGTCTCGCAATTATCCTGTTATTTATTTGAATAGAATAGAATAATAATTTATCTGTGACACACTGCTACAGATCTAACAACAACAAAAGAAAAAACAAGCATTAAAACAAAAACAAGTGAACAGAAAGTGATATTTGTACGACAGTCATCATCATCATCTTCCTCGCCCATTTCCCAATCACTCGGGGTCGGCGCAGTACATATTCAGTTCTGCCAATAGGATTTGGCAGAAGTTTTACGACCGGCCGCCTGTCTGACATCAACCCTCCTATGTTGAACCCATGGTGTCATGCAACGATCCCAACGTTCAACGCTGATTTTTAATTATCGCCACACAATTTTGCTTTTTCCTTTCCTTCCTTGACCCTTCATAGCTGAAAATTGTGGTTACCATAAGTAGTCTTCACTTGTACGTGGGATATTTTCTTTTGTTTTGGCCATTCAGCCATTCCAACAAATATCTAAGATGAACTGATTTGATCATCTCAACAGGCTTTCAACCATGAGTTTTACCCCAACGATACCCTAAATTAGCTTCTTACCTAAATTTGGGCTTTACCTTCTCATCTATACATATAATAAAATTATAAATGAGTCGAATCTGTATATTAAATATTTTTTGGAAAATCTTATTAAAATAGACATTATTATGGATAGAGGCCGAATCTATTGTTTTTAGAAATTTTTTTTTATACTATTCAGAATTAGTGCTTGACTACGTTCCACCTGATGGTTAGTGGTAACGCAGTCGTAGATGGTAAGTCGCAAATTGTAATTCAGTAGCCACCTATTCACTCTTGCCTTGAAGACACCCATATTATAATCGGACGCAAAAACCGACGCAGGCAGGTTGTTCCAATCCTTAGCCGTACGTATAATAAATGACGTAACGAAACGCTTTGTGCTGACGGGTGGAATGTCCACGACATAAGGATGGAGACCAGCCGTTCGTTGGGTTGTCCGTGTCGTGATGGAAAGGGGATGGAGGAATTAATTCATGTAGAATTTCTGTTTGTCTGTGACCGCATCACGAGAAAACCTCAGGACATGTTTTGATGAAATTAGGTATGATGATAGCTGGTTATCGGGGTCAACATATAGGATACTTTTTACTGCGGGAAAATATCTCATCTTTAGAAATCGAAACGTTAAAACGTAACTAGGGACGAACCCGAGCGGAGCGAGAGTGCGTTGCTAGTCTATCTATAATATATAAATATATCTTATATGTTATGAAATGTAATATATAAATATATATAATATACTAGCGACTCAATCCCGCTTCGCTCGGGTTCGTCCCTACTTTCTTAAAAACTACTTCAGTTACATAATATGCCAAATAAATACTAACACAAGGAAAATATAATTTATTATCCGCCGTAGAAACAAAATTTACCTTGAAAAATTATTATTCTCATAATAAATTTAATTAGATTTTCGACTTAGTTCTGTTAAAGAATAAGGTCGATCGGATATTCGATATTCAACCTTATTCGCTAGCGGTTATAGTGAGCAGCATGGACGCTCTAGCATTGGAGTTTTTTTCACTGCCTGGTCTTAAAATATTTTACTGTAAAACCTGGAACTGTATTTTTTACTATATTATATTTTTTATCGCTAGCAACCCCGTCAAGTGACAAATGTCTATCAATGTAAAAAAAAATTGATAATAATTATTGTTGAAATTATAAATAAATCATGAGTAAATTTAAGAAAAATCATTAAAATGTTTTAATTCATATAAGATCATTATGAAACAAAAGGTTTGTGGATTAGAAACGTTTAGCCATCAGATTAATTTCATTCAAATTTACATTGGAGGAGAATAGCAGCATAAGTCAGGATGCAACTCATATTCTTCATATACATCTTTTTTTCACACAATTCATCTATTTCATATAATATATTCTGACGTCTATCTCGACTTCTAAGTCTTTCTAAAATAATAATAATAATCACGAGATTAGCTATGAGCGCAGGAGATATTATCTATACTTCTATACTAATATTATAAAGAGGTTAAGTTTGTGAGTTTATGAATTATAAGTTTGTGACGTTGTAGGGGGTAAACTCCGGATCTACTGAACCGATTTAGATGAAATTTGGTAAGAAGATAGTTTGAGACCCTGAAAAGGACATAGAATACTTTTTATCCCGGAAATTAGCCCTTAAGGGGGTGAAAATGGGGATGAAATTTTGTATGGGGAATCAAACTAGGGACGAACCCAAGCGAAGCGAGGGTAAGTCGCTAGTAGTTCATAAGTTTACGCGCATACAAGTACACTCTATATTCCTTTAACTTCCAAACTTCGATAAGAAGACAAATTGCCATGACCAATAAGAGATCATGGGGATGAAACACCGCCAACTTCCCAACCCGCTGTAGCTGAGCTGTTACTGAAAATGAATATTGTGTTAATAAGTTTTTTTTTATTTTCTTGTGCCTATATAATTGTTGTCAAGTTTCTAGATAAAACAGTAACAATGACCCAGAAATGTCCGATTACGCGAAACTGAAGAAATTGGATGAGGAATCATTGCAAAAACTCAAAGAAGGCGAAGGTCCAGTTGATCAATGCATATGCCCTCTTTTGTCGTCGAGTGATGACAGAAAAAGTTTTACAGCATCTGTGAAGTAGGCATTTAAGTCGATAGGAAAGAAGACGTTTGGTCGAAAATCGCCAAATTTTCCTGTGACTCTAGATAAAAAGGAGAAAGGTAAAAAATAAAGTTAACTTTAATAATAGCCTTAAAAATTATGAACCTAAATATTGTCTGTTGCACCGTTTTACGCTTAAATAAGATTAATAAGATGTTTTTTAAATCTCATGAGATTTAAAAAAAATGTTATTTAATATGAAAAGTGAGTGAGTGAAGTAGTTTTCATCCCGGAAATCATACCTTAAAGGGGTGAGAATGGGGATGAAAATTTGTATGGGGATGCAAGCTAGGGACGAACCCGAGCGAATCGAGGGTGAGTTGCTAGTATTAATATTGATTATAATCTCTTTATGAAAATTATGATCTATCTACACGTACTTAATTTTACCCAAATTCATCCAGTCGTTTTAATAAAGACGCATACACGTATAAACTTTTCCACTTATAATAATACTCTGAGTGGAGATTTTTAAATGCAGGAATGTACAGTAGTAAAGAAGTTATCCAACGCAAATCACCGTGCGGCAAGTGTGGATGTGACAACGAAACCATTGTCCTGAAACATTCGTATGCAAATATCCGTATAACAAGTCCGGATGTGTCATCCATTTGCCCGTGTGACTCAAACTGTCTACCAGGTAAAGTACCACGAAATTTTTGGGGTCAGAAGTTGGATGAGATTTAAAATACCATATACCTAGTACAATACTATACTACCATACCAAATACATGTTCGAATTCATACAAAAATATATAATATATGAAAGTAATTTCAGTTCATTCCGAATTTTCATCTGGGCAACTTTTTTACCATTTTTACCCCAAAACATATTTCCGAATCATTGATCAACAAAGTACTATATACACAATCCCATGCAAAAGTTCTCTTAAAACTGTCACCAATTGTGTTTAGCTCATTATCTTAGTTGAATGTAAAATGAATTCAACAATGTAAATTGAACCTTAAATACAATAATTAAAATTAATTTCACAAAAAAAACTAAAAGCGCGCTTAAATGTTCAAATGAGCGCTCATTCGATGATGAAATTTTTATCGCTGATTGTGTATCTAGTACTTTTTTGATCGATGTTCGGAATACTAACTTTAACAAAAGTTGCCAAATCTGTCCAGTGTTGTTCTCGTAATAAAAAAGATCCTATTTATAATGGCATATATTTGAATATTATTGACTTTTGCCAGATGAAGAAAAACTACAAAATAACATAAAAGTTATTGTGGAGAATGCCCAAGTGACTCCATTTTCTAATATTCTAAGCATAGAAGAGATCCATGCAGTTGAAGAATAGTTATGAACGTTATTTTATTGAGGGAAAACTAAGTTGTGAAAATAAATAGTCTTATATAGTTTTTTTGTATTTATTTATTTTAGCAAAAACATCAGCTATCTAAATTCCGAGTTCCTTTCAATTTTTTAATTTTCATGACGTTTCATGGCGTATTTTTTTCTTTTTAAATAAAAATCGGTTAATGTTTGACTCACGTATTCAGGCCTTATTGACATTGACCCTGGACACGATTCCAGGTTCAGACCATAATCCACCACGCTAACGCTGACTAGATTGAAAAGTTTAATTCCTCCATGCAATATAATTTTTAGTAATATTTTAAAGTTTGTTTGTTTGTTCATTTGTTTGTGTGTTTGTTTGTGTGTTTGTTTATTTGAACGCGCTAATCTCAGGGACTACTAATGTGATTTGAAAAATTCTTTTTGCATTCGTAGTTTGTTTATTGAGGAAGGCTATAGCCTATATATCATATAATAAAATATAGTTTATCTATTCCATACTAACCGTCAAAACCACCTAGGTACGAACCCGAGCAAAGCGAGGGTGACCGCTAGTACATATAAATTTGATAAAGATAAAATAGTTCAGTGCCTTTTTCTCCTCTGTTTGCCAACCGATTTTCTTGTTTTTTTTGATTAGTAGCTATTGACGAGGTTTAGTGCTATCAATAGAAATATATCATTGTCTTTGGTCCACTGGACGAACACTATTATATTTTACTAGCATTGCCCGCGGCTCCGCCCGCGTTCAGATGACCAAAAACCAAATTCTTAGGTTTCACATATTAGTATACTCTTACATTGCAGTTTTTGTATTTTTTCTCAAAAATGAGATATTTTCCTGCAGTAAATAGTGTCCTATATGTTGACCTGGATAGCTAGCTATCACCATACCAAATTTCATCATAATCCCTCCAGTGGTTTTTCTGTGATGCGGTAACAGACAGACAGACAAAAATTCTAAAAACTATAGATTCGGCCTCTGTTTCGTTAATAATGTTTATTCCAATGATATTTTTAAAATAATATTTAATGTACAGATTCGGCCAACTTACAGTTTTATTATATGTATAGATTTTACCAATAAATAAAATTGCAGCTTACGAATACAACATAAAGGGACAGCATATGCCTAATATAAATATACTTTTGGTACGTAATCTTAAATCCTTCTTTAATCTTCAGATGTTTTAATGTGTTTGTTGCAAATAAATACATATTTTGTTGTCCTATTATTAAAAACGACGTCATTGAAATTTTTCTAATGAATTTTGAATGTTTGTAAACATATTGACAATCGTTGTTAGTTATTGCAAATCCAGTGACCTGATTTCGAGTCTCGGGTCTGATATAAAAAGTGGTTGTTAGGTTTTTTTAATGTTTACCCTCGGCTTAAGTCAGTTCTCAATGATCAGATTATACCATGAGTCAGAGGAGTCGCTATCAAATTCTCTGCTCGTGCGGACCACTCATGCACTGCAGAATTATCCATGTACCCATAGATGCAACCGGAGGATATATAGAAGATCTCCGCTCAGAAGATCTGGAGGTTCCTGGAATCAACAGAACTAAGTGGAGAACTCTAAATCTGTTAACAAGGGTACTATAAAGGATTAATACTGATCGAAATAGCAAGGACCGATCTTGGCACAACACCAATCTGCTAATAATAGGTTTTAAGATAGCAGTAAAAGCCCAGAACTAGAAAGTTGGAAATGTTTTTCATACCTGTGCTGCGGACGATATGTAAAACCACTGGTTCTAAGCTACGCCTGATTGGTCTCACTGCTCGGGTCGAATTATCATCCAACCGAAGTATGAGTGTAACAGGACAAAAATATATATTATATAATATAATATTTTATACTTGAACCATTTAATAATAATTCACCTACAGGATACTTTATAGAATTTTCATTCATTATAATTATCCTTGAGGAAATGGGGTCCTAAATTATGATGTAATTACGCATTTGGAATGTCCATGTTTTATCTCATTGTGGTGTATCGTTTACCTATGTACGGCTGCACAGATCCTAGTTTCCAGTCTTTCGTCGGGCCAAGTTATTGAGTCATTCTGTTTAGAAAGTTACAGCCAGGAGTTGAGAAGTTGGCAATGTTCGGTGATCGGAAATAAATTCACTAACAAGGTTCTAGTGAAACGACAATGAGATTTAGATTAAAATCTGTTTATTATATTTCTTTATACACCTACAATTTCATATTTTTGGCTGGATCGTTTTTTTAACGTTGGGAAATGCATTTACGCATACCACTTGTATACATACAATTGTTATGTGGAACTCACCGGTTAGAAAACAATAATCTATACGAACGAAGGCGGAGCCGCGGGCAATGCTAGTGTAATAGATTACTGCAGGGTTGCCAGAAAATATTTAGTCGTAATTACCTTTAATTAAATATGCACTAGATAGAGATAGGCCACCTTAAGCGAAATCGTTTAGAAAGACATTATTATTGGATAATGGATACATATAGACGAAACAAACCATGCTACATTGACTAAAGCTACAGCTTAATATATATATTTAAAAAAAAGTACATAGGTTATGAATTTAATAAGTCTTTTTTGTATTTAATGCATACCCAAACAATGATCCAAAAAACAGACAAAAAAACCGGTAATTGTTTTTTTTTAGGTATTTGCTCGTGATGCTTGCAACACTTACACACAAATGCAAGCACACGCCCAAAAATTTATGAGTCATAGACATTGTGGGAATAAAACCTCATCTAAACAATCCTAATAAGGCTTCATTAGCCGAGCCGAGTATATACCATACTAATATCATAAATGTGAAAGTGTGTTTGTTTATTTGTTTGTTTGTTTGTTTGTCTGTCTGTCCTTCTTTCACGTCCAAACGGAGTGACGAATTTTTGTGTGGAGGTAGTTGGAAGGCTGGAGAGTGACATAGGCTACTTTTAACCGCTGAAAATTATCTCATACCCACAGGAAAACACGTTATAATACAACCCAAAAAAATGTAATCATCAGAATTACTTGAAACTTGGTGTTAATGCTCTTCAATACAATTAAATAAATACTTGTTTTACCATTTTTTGAAATTCATCCTAAGAGGGTAAAATAGGGGATGAAAGTTTGTATGAAACCTAACTTTTTAGAGTTTCTTGAAATTTTAGCGGGAGCGAAGCCGCGAGTTCTGCTAGTATTATATACGAGTATATATTACTAACATGGTAACAAACTCATTTCTTTGAGGAGAACAGATATTATAATTCACATGTTATTTTCCTTATTAATTTAGACTATCCTTATTAATATAATACTACTAGAATCAGCAGTCATTCGATTCGTAACTTAAAGCGTGGTCGTGTATTGTTTAATAAAACAAGTGCTTGTCCAGAAAAATAAATAAATAATCTTTTTTTTATTGATAACACTAAAGCTCGTTAGTAGCTACAAAACAAACAGAAAAGAAAATCGGTCGACAAACAGAGCAAGAAAGGTAGGTACTGTGCTGTTTTGACTTTGCTTAGTTATAGGCATGGAACATTTCACGAGTAGCAAGTGAAAAATCACATGAAATGTGTTATCATACGTCACACCTGCTACTTAAATTCACAGTGACTGCTACAAATCACCATAAACTTTATAGTCGATTTTTGCCTCTTCGGCTTGTGCAAATCGGCAGATTATTGAATTGGACACTTTTCAGGATGTGACTAGCCTACCACACCTTAATCTGACGGTTTCAAGTATTTCTACCTTATCAAAACATTTTTTAAATATTTTAATCGGCTTCCCTAGACGCGCCCCTTTATATAGAAGACTTATATTATGGTGAAAGTACTCAATAGAGTGCAAGGTAACCTCTTTTATGTTAATCTGCCGCGCTCGAGTAACTACAGAAAATCCCCTCTTGGGCTCCCCTACTAATACTTCATTTTAATAGCAAATAATATAAAGTGTGACACCAGACCGTCGAAATAAAAAATCATTGCCTGTGAAAAGTAGCAGGTGAAATCACGTGAAAAATATACGTAATTTTATATGATAATGATTTAAAAGTAGCAATCATTTCCATGCTTACTTAGTTATACTCGTATATAGATTTATTGTTTCGTTGATACATCAATCACATTTACCTTTTATATATATAGATAGATAGATAGTCCATGCTCATGAATTTTATATCGGTGCGAATTGTACCAATAGACTTAAATAAATAAATAAAGGCTTTATTCACTATTACATTTTTCATATACAAATATTTATATCTTGATTTATTTTTTTACATTTAACTTTATATATTATATAATATTATTTATTCTACATTTATACACATTTTTAACATCGTAACTAACTCTCTCTCTCTGAACTATGTGTTGGTAAAATCGGTGGTGGTAGTAATCGCCTCACGGACGTAGTCCTCCTCCAGTTCATTCCAAGTTTTCCTACCTCAAGCTTTTGACATCCAATCTGGTCCTACTTTTTCCACAAATACGTCTGCCCATCTTTTCTTTGGTCGATCTCTCCGTCTTGTTTCATCTCTTGGCATTCATTTTGTTAACCTTTTTGCTTATCTGTTATTTATCGTCCATTCTACATACATATCCTGCCCATTTCCGCTTTAATGATCGTGTAATTTCTATGGTATCTGTTATTCCTGTTTTTTTTCTTTATAATTGAGTTTCTATTTCTGTCTCGTTGTCTTATTACCAATAGTATGTTTTAAATTCTTACATTCTGCTTTTGGTTTGATAAATTTTTTATACATAATATATGTATTTATATGGACAAGGAAAATTTTGTTACGGAATGGTTTTTAAATTGTTCTAAGAATAGGATTTATATAAAACCATTATTTGATTGATGATTTATATAAAAGTATTATAATAATTTATACTTTATTTAAAAAAAATCACATAAGCGCGAGTCTCACTCGCACACTGAGGGTTTCGTAGAACGAAACATAAAAATAAATTTTAATCCCAAGATTTTTTTTTTTGATGTAACTACAAAACGGATTTCTGACTGTTCCCTTTACTTACTTGTGCTATAAGGTATTGCTTCTTGCAAAATTTCATGATTCATACATTTAATGACTTGCAAACTTGAGTATTTGATATCAATTTCAACTTGATATCTTCACGCGTTCCTGAGAAAAAACGTCTTCACAGACTCAGAGACAGATGGACATATTCCTTTTTTCCTTTTGAGGAACGCAACCTTGAAAACGTTTAAAAACTTCACAACTTTAGTCAAAATTTGTTGATCATTTAGAATTGCACAGTGCAACTATAAGCCCAGATCTAACTCTAAACTAGCTTCTAGCCAAAATAGCTCCAACCTTATTTTTATTTTTATTTATTTATTTATTAGGTTTATTTACAATCACTTACAATAATACACACAATATAAAAAAAATACAACTAAAAATTAGGAACTAAATGTAGTGATTACTTACAAATAAACACAGCATGCACAAAAATAAAGTTTCTTAAAATATTATACAAAATAGATATATTTTAGAAGTAAATAGTTTTTTTTTTTATTAATCAATGAGCAGATACACAGTTACATTAATTTAGCAATTACAACATTATTTAAGACTATCAATGCATTTATTTAAGAATTTGTTGCTAATGGTTTTGCGGAAATTGGCTAAGGAATCAGCAAATATGTCGACATCTATGCTATAAGAATTTAGAGTCTTACATAACCGTGGGACTGGGGAATTGGCACCTAGGATCGTTCGGCGAAGTGGAGGACAAAGTGGAGCAATAGGCTTACGTGGTATTCTTACTGGAACTCTTAGGCTAAATTTATTTAGCAATTTGGGGCAATCAATAAAGCCGTTCAGTAATTTATGAGTAAACAAAATATCCAGAAGTTCCCGGCGTTCATACAATGCAGTCATTCGGAAGAAGGCCAACCTTTCTTTGTAAGAAGAAATTTTCTTGGCTTTACCGGCACTGAAAACCAGATGCCACAGAAATCGTTTCTGAATACGTTCCAGTCTTAGGATATGCGTAGCGTAGTGAGGACGCCAGACAACTGAACCATACTCCAAGATACTCCTAACCAAACTAAAATAAAGGAGCTTTTTAATTTGTAAACTTTTAAAAATTTTAGTGTTACGTATAACAAATCCGAGCATTTTAGAAGCACGTTTTACTATATTTTCTATATGGGGAAGAAAAGTCATTTTTTTATCGAAAGTTACCCCCAGATCCTTAATAACTTCCAACGTCTCTAAAGCATATTCTTTTATATAGTATTTATACGTAACGTAACTTGATTTTCGAGTAAATTTTACTTGATAACATTTTTCCTTATTTAAGTTCACACCGTTAATTTCACACCATTGCATAAGTCTTTCTAAATCATCTTGAAGAAGCTTACAATCACTCGGGGAATCAATAGTTTTTGCGAATTTTAAATCATCAGCATATATAAACACAGAAGATGCCAGAAAACAATTGGATATGTCGTTAATAAAAATGTTAAACAATACGGGACCTAGATGTGAGCCCTGAGGCACACCAGATGTAATCTGACGTACGTCAGATTGAAAACCATTAACAGCAACAAAGAACGAGCGAGCCTCTAAATATGATTTCAGCCAGATAAGGAGAGATCCAGTAAATCCATATGCTTGTAATTTACATAAAAGAATATCGTGTGGGACAGTATCAAAAGCCTTACTAAAGTCAGTATATATGACATCTACTTCCTTATTTTTATCTATTGCATTGACTATAGTTTCAGTAAAAGATACCAGATTAGTGCATGTGGATCTGGAACCAGAAAATCCATGTTGGTCGGAGGAAAGATAATTTTTCATATGCTTCTGAATTAAAGGATATATAGCGCATTCAAAGACCTTAGCTAACGTAGACAAAATTGAGATAGGTCTGTAGTTACAGATCAGATTAGTACTACCTGCTTTATGAACAGGAACCACCATAGCTGATTTCCATTTATCCGGAAAAGTGCCAGAGACCAGTGATTTATTAAAAATAGAACATAATGGTACAGCTAGAGTTGAAGCACAAGATGCAATAAAATATGGAGATATACCGTCTGGCCCTGCACCCTTATTGGGATCAATATCTTTTAAGATATTTAGTACTTCCTCACTAGTAATTGTAGGAACTGTAACAGAAATACTGTTATCATTAAGGTGCCTTATATATGCAGAAGATTCAATTACAGAGATATTAGTTTGCTTGTTAGAATTTAGGGCAAGGGAAAATTGTTTTGCAAATAAGTTGCAAATCGAGACGCCTTCGGACGTTTCTGTAACTCCGTCAGTCATATTGGCTGGATATAAGCTCAGACTACCCCTTTTTTGTTTAGTAAATGTCCAAAATAACTTACTATTTCTTATAATACTTTGCTCGATATTATTAGTAGTAGTTATAATAATAATTGTGGACTGGAAGAAGATTTAAAACGTGAAGGGGCTTCGAACCAAGGGGACGAAGAATTGTGGGCATGATTTTACCGTTCCGGAAACTCGTCAGGACTTATCAAATTAATTGAAATCGTCTCCATCGCCCTTTTAGTCGATGAGTCGCAAAATATCTAGATAGATAGATTCGAATCGCTTATTATCATTATCAGCCATGTGTACTATATTTGATGACATGTTTGGCTCAGTTTGTAGTGACCCTACTTGGTGCGCCAGCGGTCACGGGTTCGAGTCCCGCTGGGGGCTTCATTTGTGTGATGAGCACAACTGTTTGTACTCCAGACATGGGTGTTTATATTTATAATATGTATGTATTTAAAGTTATATATGTGTAGTGTAGCAACTATCTGGTATCCATAACACAAGCCCCGTAGCTTACCATGGAACTAGATGGTGCTGTGTGTTAATGTTAAAACATATTTATTTATTTCGTCCTCTGAAAACAATATTGGCTCTTAGAATAGGGAGTTGAGGATGAACTCGTACATTTCTGGTTCAATTCGAACAGTAGAAAAAGAATTCGGCTAGGTCTGTCTCCGTTATGGTAAAATATGTTATATTGCTTTGTTTTCTTAATCCAAAATTTTTAAGTGGAAATTTTTTTTTAAATTTAAATAATTTTCAGATGAAGTCTCAAAGATATAAAACATTTCAGCCGCAGAGAGGTAGAAAAAATCGACCAATAACATTTTGGAATACAAATACCAAGAGAGATTCACATGAGGTATGTTTTTATTAATTTTCTAACAAAACTTGTGAAGTTCTGACTTAAATTACAAAAATATGGAAAACATATTTAAGTCAAATTAAATGCATAAGAAACTAATTTAGTAGTTCTAATACACTAATAATTATCAATGAAATATTTTATTTGCTATACCGCGGGAGTTCGTTTTCAAGAATATATGTGTGTATGTATGTTTCCTATGGACTCCAAAACAGGTGGAGCGATTTTGATGAAATTTTCAGGTAATCTTCAGATTAGCCCAGCGGGTGATCCTGTGAATTTTGTTAGCAATCGGAAGTTTGGATGTGGGCGAAGCCGCGGGTTCTGCTAGTATAAAATAAAATAAAATTCCAATCGACTTTTCGTTTTATTAGTATTGTTTAAAAGTTGAATTTCTTAGAACGGAAATAAGAACTGGTCCTGAACTATCTACATAAGTATATACGTTGAACAAAATATGATGTCGGATGACGGATTTCGGTCACGGCAGCCTATTTCGCTAATACTAACAAACTGCGCAGGATATACTATGGTGCAGCGCATGCACGTGTAGAGACAAGTACACTCTCTATGCCTGTCACTCCCATACTCCGGTGGGAAGACAATTCAAAAAGAGTAGTGAGCGATCAGGCGCAGGACTGACGGCTTTAAGTGTTCTCCGAGGCACAGGGGTAAAAGACAACCAATTTCGCAGCCCCGGAGTGTACTGAGGCTTTCTAAATGACTCAACAATTAAACTAAGCCCGACATGGGACTCGAACCCAGGATCTTTGAATCTTCGTACATGCTAGCCCCTACACCATCGAGGCAATTAGAATATATGTATGTATGTACTCGCTATTACGAATACGTTAGTCAATAATGATAGTTCGTAATAATCATATATAGTCAAGGTTCTCGCAAAGTAATGGCAAATTTTAAACCCAAATCACTTCATTTTGCTTACACTTCACTTGACTTCGCTTACACTTCACTTGACTTCGTTTTGATTTTATTTTACTTTCCTTTTTTCACTTTTACTAGATTTTATCACGACGGTCGCTACAACCAGAATAACACGTCTTGATACTGTATTTTTTTCAGGTTCTATTAGACAGGGGCCAGAAATGTACACGATACGGGAAAAGGGCCAAATTTAAAAGCTACCAATCTATCGTTTTGCTTTTTTCCCTATTTTTAATAATATCACTTATTTTCTACATACTACGAAGTAAGTATTATACGTCTGTACTAATTAATATGTATATATACAGATAAATAAAATTGAAGTGTCTGTTTGTAATGTCAAAATAACAGCTTTTTACTAATTGCATATGGATGTATATACGGTATATATACCAAAACAACATTTTTTACAATTTTTGTCTGTCTGTTTGTTTCGGCTAATCTCTGAAATGGCTGGACCGATTTTGACCGGACTTTCACTGGCAGAAGGCTGATATAATAAGGAGTAACTTAGGCAACTTAAATTTTAGAAAAAAAATAGGATCCCACGATTATAATACGATACAAAATTAAAACCAATGAAAAATTTAATAATACCCGATTCAAATAGGGAAGTTGTATACATACCCTAGGGACGAACCCGGGCGAAGCGAGGGTGAGTCGCTAGTATATAAAATGGGTTGTATGTAACCTCAGAATACTAAGAATAAGCTCATATTATGGTTAAATAATTTCGATGCAAAAGCTCAATTAACTGACAATTTTTTTGTCAGTCTGTCTTTTTGTGCCTACTTATCTATATGACGAATAATATATGTTACCGGAACGGTCCGGTTTGAGTTCATACAAAAGTATTTTTAGTACATATATCCCGAATTTACCAATTTTTCGGGAATCTAATATATATATATATATATATATATATATATATATATATATATATATATATATATATATATATATATATATATATATATATATATATATATATTTGTGTTCACAGGGACGCCTGATGGTTGTGTATACAAGAAGACTGAAGAACGTTCTGACTCTACTGTTTATACCAATGAAATGGTAATTCATCTAAATCCTCTCTACTCAATACAATTTGAAAGTTTATGAGAACGGACGGATGTATGTTTGTTACTCTTTCACGCAAAAACTACTGAACGGATTTTGATGAGATTTTAAAGTTATATAGCTTATAGATCAGATTAATGTAAAGGCTATTTTATAAAGATATACATAATTGTACTACAACGCATGCAGTAACTTCAATATTATAACTGAAATGGTGTAGTGGCTGGCTGCATATCCAGAGGTCGTGGATTTAAGTTTTGTGTCGAGCCAAGTGTGTATTGAGTTTTTTTTTGCGTGCGTCACCTATTGTAATAAAAAAATTGGAAACAGTTTTTTTTATATATAGATAGATAAATTCCTAAATTCTCGAATTTCAACCACCGAGCGAATACTAATAACAAAAAACGGGCTGCTTTCTAAATTTAATATAATATATTTTGGCTTAGCTCGGGACTCGAATCTACAATTGTTGAGGACCAAAATTAAGTTTCTGAGATTCATGCTACCTTATGGTACCTTACCATTTCCATATAATATACTAGTAACTTACGCTCGCTTCGCTCGGGTACGTCCCTAGTGAAAAACAAAAACAAATCTATCCTACCGGTATCGCACATATTTTCGAGATAAAAGTAGTCTTTGTGATAATCCAGACTATAATCTATCTCTGTGCCAAATTTCATCCAGATCTGTTAAGCCGTTCTGGCGTGATTGACTAGCAAACATTCATCTGAACTTTCGCATTTATAATTAATATTAAAATGGGATTAATCACTCCACGACCGCGGACACGCCGGCGTGTCAGTTAACAATAGATTTCTTAAGAATTTTAATTAATTTCTTAGAAATTTACCTGGAGGTGTTAATTTGACTCACCCTCGCTCCGCTCGGGCTCGTCCCTAGGGTGGACTGCCCTTATCACTTAGGGATATGAAAAATAGTTTACGTCCTATTCTCAGACCTATTAAATATAAATACAAAATTACATAAGAATCGGTTAAGCCGTTTCGGAGGAGTTTTGTTACACTGTGACACGAGAATTTTATATATTAGATTATTCAATGGATATTTATTATTTTGTTATTTTGTGGGATTTCTTTGAAAGATGATTATGGTGAATCATTTACTTATTGTTATTTATATTTATTTTTGTCATATGAGCATTGAAATATTTACTCAATGTTATTTGAATTTATTTACAGAGTTTATATATGTATGTATGTTTATATTGATATTTGTAATTTGTACCTATACCGTTCTACCACACATTCCGAGGATTACTGGAAGAGATTTCTTAACGAGATCCTTTGTACACATAAGTAAAGCTTGGTCGCCCAGGTACTAACTATACATAGTTCCATGAAAAACATAACATGTAAAAAAATGCAAGTCTCGCAACGCAGTTATTCTACCACAAAAAAGAGATCTAATGAAATATAAAACATATATATATATATATATATATATATATATATATAACACAAACTCGTAGCTAAATCTATTGGTGATTATCTAAATAACACAATATAAATTTAGCTATTTTTCCTCAAAATTTTAAATTATTTTCTAAGTCACTAAAAAGAGAGACTGTAGAATGTAAAGTCCACATATATATAAGTAGAGTGTTTGAGTATTTAATAACTTATGCTTCTTCTTCTAACTTCTTGCGCATTCGGCTGCTCTCAGAGAAATGCCGCGGCCAGAATTCGGTCTGCTGTAATTTTAATTATGTTATTTTTTATTCAGATTTCAGAACAAGATAGCTATGACAAGATTATACCAGAAATTGGGCTGGGAGTGTCAGACACTCGAAATTAGTAAGTATAAATTCACCTCCTAACTGCATGAGTAATCAAAAAATACAAAAAAAAAATCATTAAGGTTGGTTATAATTACCATTATGACGACAGTTTGTAGTGACCTACTTGCTGTGCCACAACGGTCGCGGGTTCGAGTCCCGCTGGGCATTCATTTGTGTGATGAGCACGAATGTTTGTACTCCAGTCATAGGTGTTTACATTTATTTATAATATATATGTATTGAAAGTTATATATGTGTAGTCATATTATATGTGTAGTCTGTTATCCATAACACAAGCCTCGAAGCCTAGCATGGAACTAGATGGTCTGTGTGTTAATGTTCCAACATATATTTATTCAGCCATTTTTAACGTCCTACTGCTGGGCACGGGCCTCCCTTCAGTATGAGGGGAATCAGGTCATAGTCCACCACGCTAGTCAAGTGCGGGTTGGCAGACTTCACACGTCTTCCAAAAACTTGCTAGGTTTTCTCAGACATGCAGGTTTCTTCACGATGTTTTCCTTCACCGTAAGGCAAGTGGTAATCAAGTTAGAAATGAAAATATCAGAGGTGCGAGACCCGGGATTTGAACCGGCTTCACGCGGTATCCCAAGCGAGTTTATTACCACTGGGCTACCACTGCCTTATATTATATATATATATATATATATATATATATACCATATGTGAGCGATGAATTAACCAGTCATTACAGATGATGCCATTCTGAGCCCTGGCGTCAATGACCAAAACCGGTTTAAAAATTGAACGGGTTTCCGCGCCCGAGAGTTGAGATGTGTTTACTAAAATATAACTACTGTGTGTCAGTACAAAATATATTCCTAAATAATTTGTATATTTTTTTCACAGTGAAAAGCCGAATGCCATAAGCAATCGAGATAGAATTGTATTTAGAAAATTTTCTGAAGATAAAAGGCAATGTCCGCCCATTCACAACAATGTCACCAAAACTATGAGGAAATCGTTACAAAGTAAGATAATTTTACTTATTTTAAGCTATTTAATTAAAGAATTTTAATATTTTTGATATTTAATTCAAATTTCCGAAAACGTCTCTCTCTAAGCTCAATTTTAAGTAAAATAGAGTTAGAAGAGAGTATTTTAAAAATTCAGTAGGTGAAAAATCAATCAACCCTATATTCTACATTCTACACTTGTGGGTAGTTTTTTTTTTAAATTTAAACGAGACCAAACTATACTGTAAAAAGTCAAATTGAGAACCTCCTTTCTTTGCGTCGGTTAAAAAAATAATTGTACCAGAAATTCCGCCACATATTATTTTAAAATGTACTAAATCAGCTTTAAAATAACTTTAAAACTGTAGAATTTGAGCGTAGTTATTTGGATATAGATGCAAATACGACGAACTGTTTAAGCCTTTAATGCGAGACTGCCGTGACCGTTACAGTTCCCAAAGAAGAAATAATACATATTATTATTCTACCTACATTACAAAAAGTAATTATTTCACACTTTTTCTTGAATCTGACGAAGATTTCGAAAGAAGAAGACCAGTGTCAGGGCAAATATTTATTGGATTTCTCATAGCACAGAGTGGGAAGTTGGCGCTGTTTCATTTCCGTGCTTCGAAGAGCACGTAAACCTATCTGTACTGCGCCTGGTCCCTCACCTAGCGTGCCAAACTGTCTTTCCACCGGAGTTTGAAAGTGTGTACCTATCATTGAAACTGACCGCCGCAGTTGAAATCGGTCAAAAGGACAATTAAATACGTTAAAAATATTTACAGAATGCCTGGAATATCAAAGGAGATACGTATATCCGTGTCGGGAGAGTGCAACGCCCAATGAAGGAATGGTTCGGTTGAACCACTGCAACTGGAGGCCGGAGGGTTTGATAATTAACGGAGAAAATGCTTATTTAGGAGAGTTTCCTCATATGGTAACAATTTTAAGAATGGACTGACTTATACGGGAGAAGAATCTTTAAAAATTGTATTACAATCGAAAATTTTTTCGTTACGTCATCTCCATAAATAGTATAGATTTTTATCAACGATTGTCAAATCTTAATATCTATATCCCAATGTTATTAAATGTATGTGTTTTTTTTAATTCTCACCTATACTACATGCTCTGTGACGATAGAATATCTCTTTGAGTTTTAACGAGTAAAAGAGGTGATGGCCAGAGATGTGACTCCATGATTTCTCGAGCGACATAAAAAAAAGTTTCTTTATTTAATCAAGTGATGAAGTCCTAGATTCTTCTTGGTTTTAATTTTTAGGTTCTTCTCGGTTTTAATACAGCAGATGAAGACACAAAATGGAAATGTGGTGGGGTCCTAATCAGTGAGAAGTTTGTGTTGACTGCGGGTCACTGCACGTCTACTGCTGCAAGGTGAGAGGAAATTTTCAAAATACACTAATTAAACTGTACTTTCCGGATTTTTTCGGGGTTTTATATAATTAAATATTTACTGCCTTCGTAGCATAGTGGCTAGCATGTACAGCTGCATATCCAAAGGCTCTGGGTTGTTTTTAAAAATATCAATAAAGAAAAAAACAGTTAACATTATACTGTCTCTCTTTCAAGTGGAAGAGAACTAATGCTTAAAAATTGCAAAAAAAATATGTTTTATTATTTTTATCTATACATATAATAAAATTCTAACTGAGTAGAATTTGCACATTAAATATTTTTTGGAAAATATTATTGAAATAAACATTATTATTGATACAGAGAGCAAATCTATATTTTTATAGAAATTATGTCTGTCTGTCTGTTACCGCATCACAGAAAAACCACTGGAGGGATTTTGATGAAATTTGCTATGGTGATAGCTGGTTATCTGGGTCAACATATAGGATTCTTTTTACCGCGGGAAAATATCTCATTTCTGAGAAAAAATACAAAACTGCAATGTAAAGTACTGTAAAACCTAAAAATTTGGTTTTTGGTCATCTGAACGCGAGCAGAGCCGCGGGCAATGCTAGTTTATATATATTTTTAATATTTTTTAATAAATTAAACGATCTGTATGGCAAAGAAACAATAGTAGCTTAAAGAGTAAAAGCACGCCACATTTTTGACTTTGACGTTTTTGGCAGGATCCACGTATATAATTATTTAGTCAGATCTATTGCGATTAGCATTCAATCACGTTATATCAATAATTTTCTTTTTCAGGAATCAAGTAAGATATGTCAGGATTGGGATTCAAAATAAAACTGAGAAGATCCATGACACGAATATGTATAACGTGCAAAAAATTCACAAGCACAAACAATATAAGTCACCATCTCGTTATCACGACATTGCGCTTTTGGAGACAGATAGGGTGTAAGTATTTAATTATAGTACCTGTGCGACCGAGTTTCTTTACGTTCGGATAAGCTTTTTTTTAGAAAACGCACCTATATAGATAAACTTAAAAAACCTTATCTAAATACAAAGTTTGATCCGTATCGTTAGAGTTGTTTCCGAGATACAAGTAATAAAAGTGTGTGCGTAGGTACGTGCGTGCGCGTTTCAGTGTGTGTCTAAGTGTGTGTTTGTTAAGTACACAGATACACTTTGACCTGGAGTAACACAGGCTACAGCTAGTTATAAAATTTGCCAAAGCTTAACTTAAAAACTTTAAAAAATAAATAAAAACCGACTGCCAGGCCAGTCGACAATTCTTTAAGATATTAATATATAATGGGTAACTATGACAAGGTGTTAACTCTAATTTCAGTTAAAATATTTTAAGATTTGAATAATGTATATCTAATAGATAAATATTTATATTACGTATCGAAATAGATTTGCTTTGCATCGGCTGGCACCGACTTCGAAAATATCTGATTAGGTATCTATTCTAAATGAAAACCCCCGCTTAGTTATTTTTTACATTTTAGTGGCTGGAATTCGGTTCTTTTTTTTTACGTTTTTATTGCGTTGTGAGTAAAAAAAGAAAGTATAAGTACCTAAAAGTAAATAAATATTTTTCTATAAATTCTAGTATGAAACTACATCGGTATGCAGTACCAGCTTGTTTGCACGATGGCAGTTTTATAAATGATTTAGAAGTCGTGTCTACAGGTTGGGGCACTATTGTCAGTAATGAAGAATCCTTTCCGGATACTCTGCAGAAGGTAATTGAGAAATATTTGGCTTCCTATAGTAACTATGTTACAAGTATACGATAAATCTAGTCGAAGGCAAAGGAAATGCACGTACTTAGTTGACCGTTGATTGCTTGTACAAGTTACTCTAGAAATAGACATTTTACTCTAGAAATAGACAATACACTTGTCTCCGCACACTTGTGCACTATAATATCTCCTGCGTACACTTCTTCTTCTCCCTGCCCATTTCCCAATCACTCGGGGTCGGCGCAGTACATCTTCTGTACTGCTGATAGGATTTAGCAAAAGTTTTACGACCGGCCGCCTGTCTGACGTCAACCCTCCTTGGGAATGCTATTGTTTATCGCGGAAGTCTTGTAATATGCACTTTCGATTTTGTTGTCTTTTAAAACATTTTTTTATACTATTAGGTATTTAAAGTTTTAATGTTATTTTTGGATATATTTTAAAATAAATTTTGATCACACAATAAATTTTATTTTGACGTTGTCAATTTTTTTCTTAACTCCTTGTGCACTATAATATCTACTACGCAGTTGGCTATTCTCAGCAAGATTGGCCATCATGCCGGCATCGGTCAGGTAACATCATTTGGTCTAATGAGTAGCATGTACGATGTACGTCTGCAGATCATGAGAGGTCATGGGTTCGAGTCCCTCTCGGGCCTAATAGTAACTGAGTTTTCTTAAGTTGTCATTTTATGTGGAAAAAGGGCTGGTGAAGCGTTCTGTTTTATTTTATAATTTAATAATATTCGTCATTCATTTTTGTAGTTTTGTTTGAGGCGTTACTCAGATTCTGTAAAAAATAATAAAAACTGTACAATTGCATCGAATAGAGAAGTTGCATGTTTTTAAAAAAAAATTTTAAAGCTTTAAACTGAAAATTGTTAAGAAAAAAAAACAATTGATTTTTCATGTAATTTTACAACTAAAAGTGTTTTTTTTTATGTAAATTCAAACGCCAGTGACGTCATTATATCGGTTTAGTAACGCCACCGCACGGCGAAATGATAAAACACTTGTTTAAGTTGTCAAAATCAAAAAAGTTGTCATTGCATGTAATTTATATTATACACAGTTTATATTTGTTTTGAAATTATTTAATTGACGTAAAAAATTTTTTGTTATGACACATAAAAAATCCGAATAAAAAATACAAAAGTGTAGTATGATTGCCATTGGCTCACAGCTTCAACGGAAATAATGACGTCACAACCAATCACAAGTCGTTTCGTTCAAAATTTAACATTTTTTTAATCATAATTACTAAAAAAAATGGAATTTTTAGTAACAAAAAAAAATATTTAAATATACTTTAAATGTATTATTCTTCCATTTCTATATAAAGTGGCAAAAAAAAATTAATGCAACTTCTCTTACTTGGCCTACCTGACCTACTTCTGAAATACTCCCCAAACAATCAGTTTATGGGAGGTTGGTGGGTGTATGGATTTTTAAACTGTGCCTTCTTAATCTAATTTTCCGTTTTCAGGTGACCTTAGAAAGGTTTACTAAAAAAGAATGTGCTTTAAATTACCAAAGGGCTCGGTATTTAAAGAACGGATATGATGAAATCACTCAAATATGCTATGGAGACAAATATACTACTCGAGATACTTGTAAAGTAAGTTAAATAAGACAATTGCTCCTGGAAAATGTAAATAAATAAATAAATATTATATTAATTGTAATATTATATGTTTATCAATTTAAATACATATAAAATATTATAAATATAAACACTCATGACTGGAGTAAAAACATTCGTGATCATCACACAAATGAACGTCTCCAGCGGGACTCGAACCCGTGACACCTCGCACAGCAAGTAGGGTCTCTACAAACTGAGTCAAACGTGTCGTAAATAGCTGGTATTGGTATCTAATCCCAGCTTACATAATTCTGATATTTTATGAGCGAATCATTCCCAACATAACACTTTGCCTTACTGCGACAGAAAGAACCTAGCAAACTATCGAAAGCTACGAGAAGTTGAAAAGAACATAAATACAAAATTTTGGTTATTTGACTTATCTTTTGTAATTCTTACAGGGAGACAGCGGCGGTCCAACTCAAATAAAGCACCCTCAAGTGAAATGCATGTACCTGATAACCAGTATTACTAGCAACGGCAAGCGGTGCGGCGTGACCGGCACTCCCGGGCTGTACACCCGAGTGGCACCTTACTTGGACTGGATAGAGTCCATCGTGTGGCCCTCTTAGGCCAAATAACATCTTGATTCCAATAACATTATAACATAACATACTCAGGGCCGAATTAACCATGCCGGGGGCCCCTAGGCAATGCAAATTCTCGGGGCCCTATCACCCTTTTCTAAATTATTACAATTCCTCTTTACGTAATTACGCTATTAGGTAGATTTCATAGAAATGTAACTGTTGCGTTTGTCCTCATGGTGGAATTTTTACCTATTTTTAAATTAAATTTTCACTCGATGATACATTTTCAATTTTTTTTTCTCCGTGCGTGGGGCCCCTAGCCGATGCGGGGCCCATAGGCAGTTGCCTAAACTGCCTTATGGATAATCCGGCCCTGAACATACTCTGTACTACACTACCTCACTATATGAAACTTCTGTTGTTATTTATGATATATGTTAGTGACTTCACAGTACATATGTGGGATTTGAACTTGTGCTAGTATACTAGCATTTAGCCGCGATTTCGCACATTTGGTGTAATGTATATTATGATAATATTTATTAGTGGTCGTTTAAGTATTACGTAAGCAAATGTTTAAGGATTTTAGATACCCTTCTCCTCTGTAAAAGCAAAAATAAGAAAAGCACAAACCCCTTATTATAGACATACATGATTAGTACATTTTAGTAAGAATAATATTTTCCTTAGTGTTAGTATGGTTTTAGTAAAGACAGGTCAGCGTTATTTAAAACATTCGTAACACTTGAGAAACATTACAAAATTAAATAAATATTTTTGTAATTTATCTAAAGCCTTTGATTGTGAGGAGTACAGGTTCGCATTGTTTTTATCCCACCACGTCTTTTTGTAAATAAGTATAAAGTTAGTTTCCACCAAGCAGTCCCGTAGCGGGTCTATTCTCGGGTAATTCTCGGGACCGTTATTGCGAATTTTAAGTTTAATAAAAAAAATTAACAATAAAATTGTCTTTATATCTCATTTCAACCTAAACATTTCTATAACAAGCAAATAACAGTTCTTTAGCAAGCGGCTCTTTTGAGACTAGGTGTTATGCGAGGACTTATTTTTGGTGTATTTTTTCTCCTAGTTTACACAAATGATCTCTCTTTTCTATACATATAACTAGCTTTGTCCGTGGCTCCGCCTGCGTTCAGATGACCAAAAACCAAATTCTTAGGTATTACATATTAGTATACTCTTACATTGCAGTTTTTGTATTTTTTCTCAAAAATGAGATATTTTCCCGCGATAAAAAGACCCGGATAACCAGCTATCACCATACCAAATTTCATTAAAATCCCTTCAGTGGTTTTTCTGTGATGAGGTAACAGACAGACAGACAGACAGACACAAGAATTCTAAAAACTATAGATTCGGCCTCTGTATCGATAATAATGTTTATTTCCATAAGATCTTCCAAAAAATATTTAATGTACAGATTCGGCTTAGTTACAATTTTATTATATGTATAGTCTTGCAACCCTAAAATAATTCTAAATATATAAATTGTATAATACATATTATATAATTTTATGATGTGTTATGATTATACCATATGTTTGATTTAAAAAAAAATCAATTCGCCAAAATCGGTGATTAACATAATTTTTTTATTATTATTTTACTCTATGACACTCACTTGTGTTAAGACGAATCTAAACTACGTATTTATCAAAATAGGCTTAGCAGTTTACGAGTTACGAAGGAACATAGTGTCGGACATACATACATACAGATCAAACACGTAACCCTTCTATGGATTTCGTCGCAGTCAGGTAAGAAGTCATAGAGGCTTGTTCCAACACAACTTTCAGTAAGTGCGGGCACTCATTATCACTATATTTAATGTACAAATGCTTTCTCAAATACTTTGTATAAACATAACAACTGCATTAAGATCATTTCTAATAATTGGTAATTTAATATACTAGTAATATAATATTTATTGACCTTGACATCCGTTTATTTTAATGTTTTTATTCTATACCGACGTTTTCTCGCGTCTCCGCTTGCTACTTTTAATCTATACTAATACTAGCAACCCGACAGACGTTGTCCTGTCTACACGTCTTTAATTTGAAAATTTCAAACTTTTTTTAATAATTTTTTTGATGAAAATTATTATTCAAATTGTGAATCTAAACCATTCCCAGATCCCCTTAAACACACACAAAAAATTTCATCAAAATCGGTCCAGTCGTTTGAGAGAAGTTCAGTGACATAGACACTTACAGAAGAATTATATATATAAAGATTATAAAGAGGTAAAGTTTGTGAGTTTGTGACGTTGTAGGGGGTAATCTCTGGATCTACTGAACCGATTTAGATGAAATTTGGTAAGAAGATAGTTTGAGACTCTGGGAAGGACATAGGATATCTTTTTATCTTGGAAATCATCCCTTAAGGGGGTGAAAGTTTGTATGGGGAATCAAGCTAGTTGCTACTTTTATATATAATCACACCTCTCTCGGAGGCAGTGGTGGCTCAGTAATAAAGCGCTCGCTTGGGAAACAGATTGAAGCGGGTTCAAATCTCGGGTCTCGCACCTCTAATATTCAATTCTCATTTGCGGATCATTTCCAACATTATTACCCATGGTTTTATGGTGAAGGAAGACATCGTAAGGAAACCTGCATATCTGAGAGAACCTAGCAAGTTTTCGACAGATATATGTAGTCCGGTAACCCGTACTTGGCCAGTGTGATGGACTATGGCCTGATTCCCTTCAAATTTAAGAGAGGCCCATGCCCAGTAGTGGGAAGTTAAAAAGGCCTGAATGCATTCATATACCACTTTCGTAGGTTGTATTGTGATATAAGATAATCTATAACCTTCCCCTATAAATAAGCAATAAGCCGTACAAAAATTTTGCCAAATCGACCAGTAGATTCAGAATTTAGCGAATTCAAGCAACAAACAAACTTTTTAGCTAAATGTTTGTATAGACAATTAGAAAGATTACGATTCGGTCATTTCTACTTCGTCAACTGTATAATAAAAGTTTCGGCCAAGAGCGAGTCAGCTAACCGAAGGGTTCGCATCAATAAATCAAGAGTTGATTTGTGTTTTATACTTTCTCTTAATTTGAGTCATTTCAAGTGATTTCTGAACATTCAAGTCAAATTATATTAATAGAATCATCAAAAGGATTCTAGTATCAACTTAGTTTTACTAGAATACTGTAAATACGCTTATCCTCCATCCATCTACGGCTATCTATTTACGTTAACCACATATACCTACTATAAGTTCTAATAACTAAACTTGTAACCTCATAATTAGATGTTGTATCAACGAAGAAATACCTAATATTTTTATAAGAAGTTGTGGTTTTGCTTTTCTCTGACATGATTGAAAAATTTGTACCGTCTTAAACATTCGCCGCACACATTTTCCTTTATTTAATAAGCAAGCAAGTATTGAAAATTAAAAAAAACAAGTACATTTTTATAGCTTAATTATAATAAATATTCAAAAAAAAAACAAATTTTTTTATTCAGCATTAAATTATTACAATTCTTTACTGAACGTCATGAGTCTACTACCAGTTCGGAAAGAAGAAGCCTCAGACCTGAGAAGAACTGGCCAAAGAAAACGAATATGTTGTGACATTAACACACAGCACCATCTAGTTCCATGGTAAGGCACAAGGTTTGTGTTACAGATACCAGATAGTTGATACACTATACATATATAACTTTAAATACATACCTACATATATTATTATAAATATAAACCCCCATGACTGTAGTACAAAACATTCGTGCTCATCACACAAATGAATGTCCTCAACGGGACTCGAACTCGCGACCACTGGCACAAACTGAACCAAACGTGTCGTCAAAATAACAATGCTTTGCCTTGCTAATAAGAATGTTTCACAGCATTTTAGATAAGACTCGCCAATTAAAAACTTATATATGTTAGAAAAACAAAACTGTTAAAGAAACATATAAGTTAACAAGATATCTTTTTATTATCATAGTAATAGAAGTTGAGTACTAAAATGTACCTAACTTTAGTACGCACAATTATCTATCCATACGTAAAAATAAAATTAAAAATAGCCATTTGTTTTTCATTTTTATCTTCATTGAATTCTATACATATAATAAAATTGTAACTAAGCCGAATCTGTACATTGAATATTTTTTGGAAAATCTTATTGAAATAGACATTATTATCGATAGAGGCCGAATATATAGTTTTTAGAATTTTTGACTGTCTCTCTGTCTGTTTGTTACCGCATCACAGAAAAACCATTGGAGGGATTTTGTTGAAATTTGGTATAGTGATAGCTGGTTATCCGGATCAACATATAGGATACTTTTTACCTTGGGAAAATATCTCATTTCTGAGAAAAAATACAAAAACTGCAATGTTCTTACATTGCATGTATACTAATATGTAAAACGTAAGAATTTGGTTTTTGGTCATCTGAACGCGGGCAGAGCCGCGGGTAGTGCTAGTTCTATCATAACATCATAGATGCGTAAAGTTTGTGAGGACAGAAGCGTATATCTATACTAATACGAGTAATAAAAAGGTAAAGTTTGTGAGATTGTGAGTTTGTGACATTGTAGGGGGTAATCTCTGGATCTACTGAACAGATTTAGATGAAATTTTATAATATTAGTAAGATTTATCTGTAAAGTTTCATCAAAATCTACTTAGTACTTTTATGTACAACAAGCGACTCACCCTCGCTTTGCTCGGGTTCGTCCCTAGTTTGAATCCCCATACAAACTTTCATCCCCATTTTCACCCCCTTAAAAGATGATTTCTGAGATAAAAAATCCTATGTCCTTTCCAGGGTCTCAAACTATCTTGTTACCAAATTTCATCTAAATCGGTTCAGTAGATCCAGAGATTACCCCCTACATCGTCACATACAATTCACAATCTCCCAAACTTTACCTGTTTATAATATTAGTAGGTATAGGATAGTCTAGTATAATACTGACCGTGAATACTTACCTAAGGAAGAACCCGAGCGAAGCATGGGTGAGCCGCTAGTTAAATTATATTTACAAAGG